AAAAGAAACACAACAAAATGAAGTGTTAAAGTAATGCTCATACGATAGAATAAAGAAATACCAACTATCAACAAGCTGTTGAAGTAAATCTAGGTTCCCGAACTAACAGTATACTATGGCTCTTCCAAAGTCTTCTTCAATTGCAAACACCTCACAGGCCATATTAGCACAATTTTTGCAGCCTGCTCAAGAATTTTGAAGTACAATTACATAACACACCTTAAAATTAGTTACACCAATATAAACATAATAGAACTCTTAATTAAAATAACATGCAAGGCATCATTGTAAGAGTAATTCAAAAATACCTATGCAGCTGAACTCATTAACAAAAACATGATCCTGTAGAGTAGAATCATCTGCGAACAGATTAATTGATGTCAAAGAATACTCATGTGTTGTATCCCAAAATTTTCCCTCTCATTTCTCAAGAATTTTCTCACAAGATCTTCCATGACTCAAGTTTGCAGCACTGATACATCAATTTAGGTTTGGAATTGACACAAGGGCAAAATGGTCAAAATGCACACTAAAAAGTCAAACTTTGACTTCTTGATTAAATCAAGTTTCAAGAATCACATTTCATCAAGACATGTTAGAATATGAAGTTGGTTCATCAAGAAAATCAAAAGTCAAAATTACTTTGGAAAAGTCAAATTTCTAAACACTTAGAAAATTTTCTAAGTGTTAAGAAAATATGATAAGTTTAGAACTTTTGGCCAGATTTTCATCATGATGCAAGATGATTCAGGAAGAACTTATGACACAAGAGTTGTAGATATCAATGAGATCTAAAACATTGCAGAACAGAACTCCTCTTAAAAATGCTGAGATTTCAAGTTATAAATCCTTGAAGACACATCCATGAAACTAAAACACCTAGTAAATTCTGAGCATTTCCAAGTCAGAATTTGATTAGAACTTCTGATCCAGTTTCAAGCTATGCTGCATAATCTCATGTTGCAGGCCTTCTTGCTTGTTAAATCTCATCATAATTTAATGCTTACACCAACTTTTGAGTCTTTATCCCAATGTTTAAGTCTTTATCCAAAAGATCTTCCCACGTGTGGCATAAAAGTACCACTGTTGTCCTTGAAAAGCAAATTGTTGTACAAAGTTTATTTTGAGCCCATACTTTACTTTGTTTCTGAATGTACTTCCCCACAAATCACGCCTACAAACTCAGATTAAGCGTGTTTAAATTTGCTAACCACCCTACCTTGCCTTGAAACCATGCTTGTCTAAACTTGCTTCAAAAACAAGTCAACAATCCATAACACATGATGATTGTACTCCAGACTTCTCCAAGCTTCTAAATCCTTTGCCTATGAATTAAACTTCATTTTCAAACTGAAGGAGAAAAGAAAATCCCTGAAACCTTGCTGAAAATTCCCAAGAACATGAAACTGCAACACAAACATAAAACCTGCTAGTTTCTGATTTTTGCATACAAACTCTAATTTTCCTTGTGCGTTTCTTGGCCAAATCATCCACACAATTTCTGGTATACACATAGAAGCTTTCCCAACTTCTGTTTTCAAACTATAATACAGTCTTCACCAATCTCCATTTCAAAAATCAGAACTTTGCATCTTGACTGCTCCAGAGCATTCCAACCATCCATAACTCAAGTTAAGGGTTGCTTTAGATTTCTGAGAACTTGAGGAAGCTGACCAGAATATCACAGCAATCTGAACCAGGCTCTAACTCATAGAACAATTTCCAGCTGCAAGGTAAGTTTCTTCTAATTGTCATCTCATTACTTAGGCATTGTTAGGATTGCAATTTCAAAGACACAATGTAGATAGATATCATGGCTCTGAATCTGTACATATTTATAGATTTCATTTATATGGCCTAAGTAGAGAGAATTTCATATCAGAACTTCTTGAGAAAATTAAGTTTCAAAATTAGGATTAGCGAAATTCATGCTAGTTTCTGGTTTACAGTTTTGATGCTTTGTATTTCTGAAACCATGATAAAATTTTCCATAACTTATATGTTTGCATTTTCCATTTTTATTGAGAAATGATTAAGTTGCAGATACTCTAGTTGGCGCAAAGAAGAAGATGAAGTGCATCATCAGAACTTACTTTGTAATATATGTTTATGTTTTTGCTTCTAATACCGGATATATAGCCACCCTAGTGATAGAGAGCGCGCACATAAGACATTAGTGTTAAGGGTCCGGGGTTCTAGCCCCAAGAGCATCTTTTATGTTTATTTCTTAACTCTTTACCCTATTATTTGTCAAACAACATTCCTGGACCAAAACTTCTAGATAACCCCCCCCCCCCCCCCCCATTTATTTGTCAAAACAGTACTTCTGGATCAGAACTTCTAAATATTCTCATCCAACAACATCGTCACCTCACTTACCCATTAACAGAACTTCTAGCCTTCCAGTAACACTAGAACTTCTAGGTTTCCAGCTGCATCAGAACTTCTAGGCTCTCTCAACAATCAGAACTTCTAGGCTTTCTTTTGTTTCCAACAACCCCAGAAATTTAGCGCATTTGGATCCAGAACTTCTGGCTTTCCCCATTTCTACTAACATTTTCTTTCTGATTTGCAGTGCGTCTGAGTCAGAACTTTTGCTCTCTCTTATTTCTATTCTTTCGGCAACACGCTAACTCTAACTCTTATTCTCTTATTATTTTTATCATCACTGTTATTTTCATTAATAAAAAACACCAAAAATACTTTATATTCATATACTTTACTTTATTTATTTCAAAACAAAAAGACTAAAAACATTTCCTTAAGCAAATTTATTTCTTCTCCTAATAAAAACAAAACAAGTCTATTTTACATTTCAATTCTGGTACATTATTTCAATATGATTGTAATAGATAATTAGGACTTTAATTTCTTACAACCCCCATTTTTAAATTTGTACACCCCATCCCCAAGTGATTGTAATAGCGTATGATATTTACTTTTCGCAATTTATCGCTTTCATATAAATGCTAGTAATTAGGGTTTGTATGGAAAGATAAAATCAATACTTAGAAAACTCTAATTCAAGATAAATCAAGCATGAAATACAAACACTTGCACACTTGCATCTCTAGGGTTAACTCCACTTGTTACCTTATGAAAAATGGTCATGTTATGCATGTGAGGCGTCTTAGCAAAAACAATCAAAAAAATACAAGATCATAGTCCCTCGATGACGCTTCGAATGTTGCCTTACAAATGATCTTAGTCCCTCAAGAGAAATGCTAAGATATCTCACAACATTGCTATCATGACTATACGATGACCCACGCCCGTCTCTTTACATCCAAAGATAAGACTTCTTACCAATCAATGGTAAGATAGCAATATTAAAGGAAGGAATGAACAAAAGACTTTTTGAGTAGGCAGAATGTTATTAGTTGCTTGCTCACAATCCATCTTCAAAACAAACATCTTTTCAAACACACCAAACACTTTCAAAACATGAAATATTTTCAAAAGTCCAACACTTTGTATGCATTCTTATAGAGACGAGAATCATTACAAAGTTTTCCTAAACAAAGGCACTTTTTCAAAATACTTTCAAAACCCATCCCAAAACACACTTTCAAACAAAAGCAATGATCTAGCAAACAACTAAGAGCCTATAGATAACTATGGATGAAAAGGGTGCTAACACATTCCCTTTTCATAATCCACCCCCCGAACTCAAGAAAATAATCTCAAAGGTCTTTCCTGTTCTTTTCATCCTTTCCTTTATTAGATAAAAGAAAAGTCGGTGGCGACTCTTGCTATCTGCAATAATTGCGATAAAACGCAAAACACTAAGTCAGTTCTCCCACCGTATTACACCATGAATATCATCGTGAACCCTACGCTGAACTGGATCATTGAGCACCTGAACTACAATAGTTAGAAAACCTGAAACTACAAATTTCTTAACCATTAAATTATAGATATCCAAAAACAAACCCACCTCATAGACTTCATTGATGAAGGTGCAGAAATTCGCAGTCTCGGGATCATTCCCACTCAAATATGGATGGCAAGTTTTCATACGATTATAGTATGCCTTCTTGATCTTCTCCGGTGTTTCATCTGGAAGTTGGTAAAAAAAATAATTTCACAATAATTAAACATCTAATATTTCTTATAAACCTAGAAATCAAACCCCAACGAAATAACACAATTAGGATGTTCTCAAATAGGGATAAAACAATTAAAAGAATTTGATTATCTTTTCACATTCTTGAAATATAAGCTAATCATGTGCCCTATTTGAATTATCTTTGTTGTTACTTCCATATATCAAACCTGTAACCTGAAATTGAAATTAATAAAACAATAGTAAAGAGAACGATGGAATCTAGCTATATGAATATTGAAATTGAAATCAAAAGCGGTAAGAATACGAACTTAAGGATCAAGAACATGTGTTCGTGTCTCGACATATCGATAGGAATCAGCGGAAGCAAGAATAGCTTTTTGTGGAATTGCTTTGTATGAAGATTTGATGTTTGTGGAATTGTTGTCGAGTGGAAGATGGAGCATGTATTGGAGGAAGAACGATGCAGATCAAGAGGAAGAAGGAAGATGAGGAGGAAGAACGAAGCAAAACGATAGAGAGAAACAAAGAAAGAACGAGAGAGAGAGAGAGAGAAAGAGATAAATTGAAGAAGATAAAATGAAAGAAGTTTGGAGAGTGAAACATGTGTGAAACCGTTCAATTGCATTTTGGAATTTCGAAACAAAATTTAGGTATAGAACAAATATTTCGTTTGCCTCACACACATGAAATCACGTGTTGTGTTTTTAGAACAAAAGGACAAAATATACAAAATGAATAAAATGAGTTTTCTTGTATTATAGATTTAAAGGGTGCCAAATAAAATTCTAATAGTTTGTATAAGAAAAGCCCAAACAATAGTATTCTACTCCATAAGCCCAAAAAAGCTCAACGTTAGAAGGCTAAACCCAGTTTGACACTTTGACTTATTATACAGTCCGTCTAAAAAGGTTAATTTTGTAAATTGATTAACAACATTAGGGTTTCCGCTGAGCTATATATTCGACATTTAAAGTCCCATTCCAGCAGCTCTTTAACAAAATTGTTCGGTTTCAATTGCAATTGCAATATTTCGTTTTCTATTTTTTTTACCTATGATTTTTGTTGTTCCTTTGGTTTATGTCCTCTCTTCATCCATGTGAAATCAATTTTTTGTCCGTGTAGACGAAGATCCTTGAATCAGATTTCAATCTTTAATTGTTTCAATTTTGCATCTTATCAAAAACTTCTTTATCCTGTTTTTGATTTTGAGATTTGTTATATGTGTTTATTCTGAATTGATCTGTTATTAGGATTACGATTTTTATGAAGAACAAAAGGCTCTATTTTACGAGTCAACAGCAGGGGCTTTTATGTAATAGCCATCTGACTGCCGCTTAGAGCCGAAATTAAATTACCAGATGAAGATCCTTGAAACTGATTTCTATGGTTTCAAGACACAAAATTCTTGTTAAATTTTGTTAACTATTAGTAATAATTTTGGTTATGTTTTTGGCACTATAGTCATTCACGGGGGCTTGTTGATTAATTTCAAAATAAGCTACCTTTTGCACGGTGCCTATATCTAATTTGGCTATTCATTCACGATTGGAGGAATCTTATTTTTATGGTTACCTTCAAATTACAAGTAGCTACATTTTGACTTTTGTTGAGACAATTTTACCATGAATCGGATTTTTATGAAACTTATTGTTTTAAAAGTAACAATAATTATTAACTTAACTTTTAGTTATTATCTTTTTTATTTGTATGTTTTTATTCTGAATTGATTTGTTATTAGAATTATGATTCTGTGAAGAACGAAAGGCTCTATTTTTATGAGTCAACAGCAGGGGCTTTTATGTAATAGCAATCTGACTGCCGCTTAGAGCCAAAATTAAATCACCAGATGAAGATCCTTGAAACTCATTTCAATTATTTCAAGATACAAATTTCTGGTTATATTTCTTTTATGTTTTTTATGATTCGTTTTACTAATTTTTATTATAAGATATCATTTGCTGTGACTACATACTTGGTTATAGATCACGAAGCCTCCTCTTTATGCCTAATTTAATTTAATATAACATATAAATCACAAATTTGGTTATTCTTTTACCTTTAAAATACGTGTTACTCTTTTACTTTTCATTACAAGAATTAAAGTTATTCAAATAAGCTTCAAACATCTCATTCAAGTTTTATCAATAACATCCAAAGCTTTATGTTTCATTACAAGTCCACAAGTTCTATTTAAAATATCAATGTCATCCAAGGTTTCATGTCTAAAATTCATAAGTCTTAATCTAAACCACCAAGCCTTGATTGTCTTGTTGAATGACCAATCCACTTTGCAACTTGATGCTTTGTCCTTCTTTAAATCTTGCACAAATTGTTTTGAAAAATTTATCTGATTTTAGATGTGTTTATTTCTTTTCTGGTTTATGATTTGTGATGAAAGCGGTAAATGTAGAAAAGTAAAGATAACAAGGATGTATTTTAGTTTTTCTCATTGTTTGAGAGTACTTCAGTTTCTTTTTAACACGAGAGAGATTTTATTACTTCAGTTTCTTTTTAACACGAGAGAGATTTCATTATTGTTAGATCTCTAAATAAGACAACTTAGCATTTTTATAACTAATAAAACCACCAAGAACAATCTTTTTGGATCAACTAAGTCGAAATGAGAACAATCCTTTCACTTTCAACCTCTTTTTCTAACAATCCTTTCACTTTCAACCTCCTGCATCTAACAATCTTGGACAATTAGGAATACAAAAACCAAGTAATCTTAATTTCAACAATCTTGAAAAATAAGATATGAATATAACAAGAATCTTAAGAAAATGAAACAATTATCACTTTGAGTGATGTATTAATATAATTGATCTTCCCTTCAAACAAATAATTTATAATGATAGAATATATAATATAGAAACACATGCGGAAAAATTCTTTAAGAAAGTTCAAGAACACATACTCTTGTTTCAAATCTGAAAATGTATAGTTTATATAGTGCCTTAATACCTCTTTGGAAGTGTATGAATATATGAAAATAGTCATGATTGAGGGATGTAAAAACAATTTTGTTTGAATCAATTACATGAAATAATTGTTGTCTTGAAGTTGTTTTAGTTGGATAAAAGATGTTAAGTGAGTTGAAGTTAAGTATGTAGATTTCATTGCTTATCAATAAAAAGTTGTTTGATTTTAAAGAATAAATTAGATTGTTATCGGTTCATCCGAGTTAAGTGTTATGTATCTATTTTATATGCGATTAAATGGAGTTTGATTTTAAGTTGAGAATGTATACCTCTTTGAAATTGTATGAATACATGAAAATAGTCATGATTGTGGGATGTAAAAATAATTTTGTTTAAATCAATTTTCAAAATGAAAATGGTACTAGTTCAATAAAGTAACTAGTTACATTGTTGTAACGTTAGTAATTTTTTCAAAAATTTGATTCAGGTAATTGGTTACCTTGTTGAATTAACCAGTTACTTCACTGAAGGTTTGCCAATAGCGTTTAAAATGAGTTTCTGTCAAAGTTCAGGTAATCAATTACCATCTTCAAGTAACCAGATACATTGAAACAAAATTTTCTAAAAACCTTAGAAAAATGTTTGTAACCAATGACAATAGGATTTAAAAGATATTTATGCTTATGTATGAAAAAGAATGTAATTTTTTAGCACTAAGATATATCACCATAAATGCATGCTTGTAACCTTATATATTAAGATCAATGAAAGTCTTCATAAGGTTGCAATCTTGATCCATAGCTATTTTGCTCATGTTGCCATTTCTCATCCTTTGATATATGTACATAGGAGTTGTCTTCATCAAATCATGATATTGAAAAAACTTGACTTCACATTCTCCCCCTTTTTGACGATGAAAACCAATGAAAGTTTAGATGCCCGAATCTTTTAGAATAAATGAGAATCTCTTATGTGAATGGTTCCCCTATCTTTGATAACCCCCCTTGATTAAAGCTCTCCCTTGAATCATAGAGAATTTTACATCTTTTGGACTGCAATAGTTAGAGACAAGCATACACATATATATCTTCTCCCCCTTTGTCATTAGTAAAAAGGATGAGAAAAAGTCTTATAATACATAAATAAATTATTGAAAGTAAAAACAATTTATACCAATGAATTTCACCTCAAGAGTGATTTTATAAACCATTCATCTTTTGAGAACATGATATTGAAGCCTTTGTCACAAGTTGAATTTTACTTATAAGATTTTGCTTTAGTCTTTCAACATAACGTAAGTCTTCAATGAATGTGAAAGTTAGTGTTCCAACTTTGCCAATGCCAAGAATTCTTCCTTTAAGGTATTCCCCATATGTGAAATAACCCTTGGACTTTTTGAACTAGATTTATAAGGTATTCCCCATAAATTAAGTTTGATTTGATACCCAATGTGCTTTGGGTCCATCATAGTTAGTTCCTTTCTTGATCCACACATAATGCCCATTTGCCACACTAACATTTCTAACATAGCAAACATTTGGTGTATGGCCACTTATACCATAATAAAAACATGTAGGAACAAAATTACTTTTATATCTAGGAGTATAAGATTTCTTTTTAACAAATCTTTTCCTTTTAGGATAATGATGAACAACCTTTGAGTTGTTCACTTTCTCTTTGAATAATTGGTCACTAGCTTTAACAAAGATAGTTTTGTTGGAACTTTTTAGAAAATTTTGAGTAACCAAGCTCTAATTTATAATTAAAATACCTTTGTTGGCTAAGAACATTTTCCCATCCAACTTGTCCATTTTTATACTTTTCAAGGACTCTTTTAAATTGAACAATTTGAAAATAAAGTGAATCACAATTATTGCATACAAAATTCTTTTTTTCATTAATAATCTTTTGTTTTTTCATTCTTGAAATCATTTTCCATTGTCTCAACTTTTTCTTCTAAAGATGAAATATGTTTCTTTTGAGATAAAATAGTTTTGTACAAATTTTGCATTCATTTAAGAGTTCATCTATTACACCTTGTGCATCGTTATCGTAAATAGAAAATTCATTACTAACCTCATCAATTTCATCATCCAAATGATGTGAAGCCATTAATGCAAGATTAACACGTTGATTGCTTTTGAAATCAGAAGATGAACTTTCCCATGCTATATATGCTTTCTTTGACTTCTTATCTTTATTTCTCTTGAAATATTTCTTCTTCTTTTCAAGGGTAAGACATTCACTTTTAACATGTTCTTTTTCTCCCCATTCAAAGCATGTAACCTTCCTATTTGGTGCTTCCTTTTTTCTTTCTTTTTGTAGAACCTTTTCAATCTTCTTGATAAGATCATCTTCACTACTAGTGGATTATTATCTTTATTTATTTTGAAATATTTATTCTTCTTTTCAAGGGTAAGACATTCACTTTTAACATGTCCTTTTTCTCCACATTCAAAGCATGTAACCTTCCTATTTGGTGCTTCCCTTTTTCTTTCTTTTTGTAGAACCTTTTCAATCATCTTGATAAGATCATCATCTTCACTACTAGTGGATTCATCCTCTTGATTGCTATCACGATTTTTGATCCTTGTATTTAAAGAAATATCTTTTGAATCTTTTACTTGGATTTCATGCTTTTCAAGTCTTGCAAGTTCCGTCTCATATCCTTGAAGTTTTTCGAGCAAAGTGGCGGAAGTCATCGTGGATAGATTCTTCTTCTCGGATATTGCTGTAACTTTTGGTTGCCATTATCTAGATAAAGATCTAAGCACTTTAAAATTAAGTTCATCATTAGTTAAAGTCTTACTGAGTGCTTTCAAATGCACGAATCTTTTCTGCAAGTCAAGGATTAGTTTCGGGGCCGCATTCGGAATAACTCGTACTCTTGACTCAAGGTATTCAATCTAGATCTTTTAACTTTAACCATTCCTTCACGAGTCTCTACTAATGTATCCCATATTTTTTTGCCATTGTACATACCAAAATACGAAAGAATTCATCCATACTAAGTGCACCTTGAAGAAGATTGATTTCCTTTTTGTCATAGAGGACTTTTTTCTTATCATCGTCATCCCATGAACCTTTAGGATTTGCCGTTCCAACACCGTTAACAACACATGTAGGAACAAACGGGCCATTTTAGACAACATCCCATATTTCTTCTCCTTGTGCTTCGAAATGAGCCTTCATGCAAATTTTCTAGAAATCGAAGTACTTACCACAAAATAATGGAGGTTTGTTACTGCTACCACCGTCTCTAAAAACCGGATTTTGATTTGCGGACTCCATTCTGGATCTTTAGGAACAAGTTATCTATAACCTGCTCGGATTCCAATTATAAGTATTGAGTGCGCCTAAGAGGGGGTGAATTAGGTACTTTAAAAATTTATCCGGTTTTAGAATACTTGTTCTTATTTTTCTGGTTTAGTGCAAGAGTTTATAGATGTGGTTCTTTCTTTTCTGGTTTATGATTTGTGATGAAAGCGACAAATACGGAAAAGTAAAAAACACAAGGATGTATCCTGGTTTCCCTCACAGTTCGAAAGTACTCCAGTCCTCTTTCATACGAAAGAGATTTCATTATTGTTAGATCTCTAGACAAGACAATCTAGTCTTTCTATACAAGAATCTAACCAATAAAACCATCAAGAACAATCCTCTTTGATAAACCAAGTTTAAATAAGAACAATCCTCTCACTTTCAACCTCTTGCTTCCAACAATCCTGGACAACAGGGACTACAAAACCAAGTAATCTTAATTCCAACGATCCTGGAAAATAAGATATGAATATAACAAGATATTTAAGAATACGAAATTGTGGAACAATTATCACTTTAAGTGATGTATCAATATAATTGATCTTTCCTTCAAGCAAGAAACTTATAATGATAGAATATAGTGCTTAAGTGTTTGTAAATATGATATAAATTTTTCTAGACTAATATGAAAACACATGTAAACAAATTCTTTGTGAAAGTTCAAGAACACAAACATTTGAAATTTGAATGATAAATATGATGTTAAATTGCTATTGAAGAGGTCAGTTTTCAAATATGAAAATGTATAGTTTATATAGTACCTTAATACCTCTTTGAAAGTGTATGAATACATGAAAATGAGTCATGATTGAGGGATGTAAAACTAATTTTGTTTGAATCAATTTTCGAAATGAAAATGGTACTGATTCAGTAAAGTAACTAGTTACCCCAGGGATGTAACTGGTTAAATTGTTGTAACGTTAATAAATTTTTCAAAAAATAGGTTCAGGTAACCAGTTACCTTGTTGAAGTAAACAGTTATTTCACTGAAGGTTTGCCAATAGCGTTTAAAACAAGTTTCTGTCAAAGTTCAGGTAACCGATTACCATCCTCAAGTAATCGGTTACATTGAAACAATTTTTTTTAAAAACCTTAGAAAAATGTTTGTAACCAATGCCAATAGGATTTAAAAGATATTTATGCATATGTATGAAAAATAATGTAATTTTTAAGCACTAAGATATATCAATATAAATGCATGATTGTACCCTTATATATTAAGATTAATGTAAGTCTTCATAAGGTTGCAATCTTGGTCCATAAATATTTTTCTCATGTTGATTTTTCTCATCCTTTAATATATGCACATAGTAGTTGTCTTCATTAAAACATGATGTCGAAGAAGCTTGACTTTACACTACGGTATTCTGATTCCTTCCGAAGATACGTAGGCATTAGATTGAAAAACACGGACGGACCCAATAATAAAAATCTTTTATTTTTCCCAATAATTCATTCATGCATTTCCCTTAGCAAGTAAAGCCTTTAGATATATACACCCTTTGATTAGAACAAATAATAGTGGATCTCATTGAGTACAACGGACGTGAGTGGTGCTAATACCTCCCACTTGCATAATTGACTTTCATACCCTTTCTCTTGGTCGCAATACCACATTTTTTTCACATCTTAGAGGTTTTATTGATATTTTCCTTTCCCTCTTTGAGATGAATAAAGTTCAGTGGTGACTTTATTATTTTAGTAATTTTTAGAGGCGTTCTAGCTGCCGACTTCACCGGGGAAACCTAAGCGATTAAG